TTACTGCAAATTTTTTTGCAGGGAAACAGAAGTGAAGGTCGTGTAATCATCCAAACTATAATTTGGCACATAAAACCTAATTGCGGCTGAAAGAAAAATCACTGTATCATTTTCACTGAAAGGCATTTACAGAATTTGTTTGGTTTCATACTATTTTCAATAATCTAGCAATGCAAAGCATACAGTTTGCTTTGGATTAATATTTCCAACTACAAAAAAGAAAAAGCCAAGAGCTTTGATTTATGCATGCATAGAGAGAAACAAAAGAAAGCAAATGTTGACCTTTACAATGAACACGATGGGTCAACGTGGCAACTGTGCCTTGCAGGCAAATTGCCTCCCAGTGCTACAGATTCTTCCTTAAAGCAGGAATCAAATTTGTATATTTTGCTACTTGATTTTTATGGTAAAAATATTGAGACACATCGTACCTTTTTTCTGTTCACAGGTCACATTAAACCAGCTACATTAAAAGGGGGATAAATAAGAAAAGCTAAGCTTTCTCAGTTTAAATCTAGATCAGCGTTGAGAGTCTTCACTTTGTTTTAGACTCTGTGTGCAAGCTTCCCTGCCCTCTGTCATTCTGTATCAAAGGGTAAACTAATGCAAAATGTATATGGCCCTTGGCACAAAAGATGGTGGTGTTGCTCAGTACAGCAAGATGGGTGCTAAAAGCTTGAAACATCTGTGTAAACACATGGTTTTTTTCCAACCATGTAGACGGCGTACTCATAGCAGTAAGATGGATGTCCAGGGCAATATACCTTACCCTGGGGCAATGCTGGAATGGCTTTGAACGCTAAAAAAAATTGAGCTCCAAGCAATATCCGCATTCAATATTCTAGCTTTACAGCAAAGCATAGAAGAATTCAACCAATGCTCTTTATTTGACTCTTTGTTGTTTTAAGCTTTGCATCGATTGTGGCAGTGCAGAGAGGAAATATTTTGTGGAAAAATACAAAGAATTCAATGGTGCTGTTTAGTTGGGAGTTTTTTTTTTCGGTATTATGTTCAAATTCAAATGATTTTTCTGTGACAGGTTTAAAGAAAGTAGGGGCAAATATAAGAGATAACCTTCTGCCTTTGTTGTTCTTCAATTCTGTTAATAGCCCAAGGTAAGGATTTATCTGCTCTTGTCAATTTGCCTCATTCTCAATATAAAGCACCAAGGTCACTTTTCCCTCCCTGGCCCACAGGATTAAATTGTCATGTCCCTCTAATAGGCAGCACAGGGAATCATTAGTCCAGCTCAGCTGCCTGACTGATAGGCATTTCAGTCCAATCATGGGAGTGTGCCGCCACAGGCCAGCCAGTATTGACACTGTGTCAGGACTGAGAGGGGACGCCTTAATCAGCCAGGACACTCTCAACATTGATTTGACAAGCTGCTGTAATGACCCCCTTGTTTTGGTAAAGGATCACTGTTTATCCAGGCTGGCATTGATGCACTGAGAGTGCTCCATTGTCATGGAAACTATTA